CTATTTTTATTTTATTCAAAATACTATTTGCTAATATATTGCTTTTCATTGCTTTCAGGGTTCTCTTGTATACATCAAAAATGAAAGATTGTTGCAATTCTAAAAATATTGTAACAAATGAATATCAAAAAAATTCGTATACTGCTTCTAATACTATTAACAGTATGTCACCTGGRGTTCATATTGATCATATATTCGCAAGAAGTCCTGAAAATATTGCTCTTTCTATTATTGACTATGGACTGCCGTTGACCGAACCTGTACCTGGCCAAAATTTCAGCTATTCCGACCACGAAGCTGTATTAGCAAAGTTGCATTTAAGAGATGCTGAACATAATATTGGGGAAGGTGCATGTATTGTTACTTCTATAAATAAAGAGCATCATATTAGCGAAGAAGCGGCACTTAAAACTGACGGATGTGTTATATCGAGACGTGTAGCTGTTTTGCATGAATCAATATCCTTATGCGAAACATCACTAGATCAACTGAATATAGATCGTATATTTTACTACAGTGTCGCAGTTATTCTTGCGTTTATTTTAGTAGTTTTCTTGGAATATCCATCTCCATTAGGATTTAGAACATTATGCATAATATTGAAACTCTTCATATCAGGTGGTCTATTATTTTGTATTTTCATGGGATCTGTGTGGAATTACATGGAATGGAATGGTGTATTATCTGGAAAAGTAGCCATGGAGTTAATGTTGCGGTCCATTGAAGTTTTTGAAAGCGTACCAAAGGTTTGAAACTTTTATGTTGGTGACCGTACGTTGATTGGTTAAAACTATATTTAAAAGACACATTAATTTATTCCAASTACTTAAATAAGCTCAAAATGCATTTATTATTGAATTACTTATATTAAATTGCTCCTCATAATGTAAATGTATTTATGTATATGTGACTAAGTACAATGAATAAAATATATACATAACTATATATTCAACTATATTTTGTATACATATGTTTAAGCACTAGACAGGCGCTAGTGATTTTAGAACTTTGTTACTTAATCTCGATAAAGGTTTTTCATTCGGAAAATATTAATTACGTATAATTAAACTGATGTATACGCGGAAGTTAAAATAGGCAACGGTGGAACATGTAATCAAGTAGCGTTGGTGATAGACTCTGAACAATATCAATCTAGTTAAAGATAATATACATATGTACACCCAACTCTTTTTTTTTACACGGCGGATACGTTTCTCAGAAATCCGTTTAAAAAGGAGGCGTTTCCTATAGTAAAATGGGGGATACGTTCCATGTAATTTGAAAACCGTGTAAGATGAAATTAAGAACTATATTTACTTCGAAAAACCGTGTAAAAATGTTGAAAATTAAAAAATTTCAGATTTGCATACAAAKTGTTTGTTCATTGGTAGATTAAGCAAAAACAAAACAAATCTGTTAATCAAGAATTAAGAACAGAAAAATTAGAATAGAAATAAGGAAAACATATTTACATAGCTACATAATTATTCGTCGCTACTTGATAACAATATATATATATGTGTATATAGTTCTATATTCGTTTGTACTATATAGAAGTCGTTTTATAAGAAAAGCTCACCACAATCTTTCTCGTTGTTTTTCATTCAAAGTACACAATGTTAAAAGGTGACATTACGTAAATTACCCACCCCAGACCAAAATGCTTACTGAATGAATTCTAAAATAGTTATGAAAGCTTCATATATACATACGTATATTTGCATTTCTAGTTCTAAATAACACTTGACTTTCGTTATAACAAATAATTTACATTTACATATGTCTCATTATCATATTATCATATCAATATAAATAATAATTATTCTCGTTTTAAACACGTTCAATGGCCATGGCGATACCCATCCCGCCTCCAATACATAATGATGCGACACCCTTTCTGACATTCAACCTTTCAAGCGCATATAACAATGTAACTAGAATTCTGCATCCCGATGCACCGATAGGGTGACCTAATGCAATGGCACCTCCATTAACATTCACCTTATCGGCGTTGATTTTTAGCTCCTTTAATACTGCAATAGATTGACCTGCGAATGCTTCATTTAATTCAAACAAATCCACTTCTTCCTTTGTCCAACCAGCCTTTTGTAACTTTACAATGAAATTGAATTCAATGCCAATATAAGCCTAATGCGTTAAAATTTACTTACAACTGCTTCAACAGCAGTCACGGGTCCAATTCCCATGATTTTAGGATCTATACCAGTCTGTGCCCAAGCCACAATTTTCGCCAATGGCTTAATGGATCTCTTTGTCACCTCTTCCCCTGACATTAACAACACCGCTGCAGCAGCGTCATTAATACCTGAAGCGTTTCCAGCTGTTACAGTTCCATTCTACACAAACATTTGCATATGCAGGAACAAAATAGAGACTTTCAATAACACTTTTTTATATCTTCCCTACCTCAATAAAACATGGTTTCAGTGTTTTGAGAGCTTCAATTGTTGTGCTCCCTTTAATGTACTCATCCTTTTCGAAAATTTGAGTACCCGCACGCGTTTTCAATTCGACTGGGACAATTTCCTTTTCGAAGAAGCCATTTTTTTGCGCGTTCTCAGCCAGGTTTTGTGAGTGAACCGCAAACTCATCTTGTTCTTCACGAGTGATATTGTATTGCTTTACCAGGTTTTCTGCAGTGACACCCATATGTATGTTATGCATAGCATCGGTGAGGCCATCGTGAGTCATTGTATCCAACATTGTTCCAGGACCAATTTTGATACCATTTCGTAAATGGATGACGTGTGGTGCCAAAGACATACTCTCTTGGCCTCCACAAATAGAAAYTTTAGAATCGCCACATCGTATAGATTGGAAACCTAAGGCAACAGTTCTGAAAATAAAAGTATACTTTAAAATAGCATATGTATACGAATTTTACTTTTTGTACGCACTTTAATCCGGAACCACAAAGCATATTAATATTATAAACAGGGACATTTATAGGAAGTCCTGCTTGTAGGGCTGCCTGTCGTGAAGGATTTTGACCCTGCCCAGCGGTAAGACTCTAGTAAATATGTTGATTAAAATGACATGAAATGTTTTATTCCAAATATTGCTCACTTGCCCAATGACGACTTCGTCCACATCACTACTGTTAACATTAGCTCTCTTTAGCACTTCTTTAATAACTACACTACCCAGTTCCGATGCTTTCAATTTAGAAAGTGATCCATTGAAGCTTCCTATAATTTTAAGATCCGAATTAACACATATAAAGGAGGAGGACTCTATCGAATATGAAATTACCAATCGCTGTACGCGCAGCGGATACAATATAAACGTCTCCAGTGCTAACCATTTTAGAAACTTCTCATTCAAAATTAATAAAATTACTAAATTTAGAAAGTGCCAACAGCAAAGATAATGTTATGCCCAACTTATTCCAGTGGGAGAGCGCCTCAAAATAAGCATTTTTTTACAACATTTTCCATTATGGCCAGCTCGAGCAAAATAAGAATTTTTGGACATTTTAAATTAAAACACCCACATTTATTACGATTGCAAATTATTATATATTGGACTTTTTACATATGGCGAAACTACTTAAATCCTTTTTTATGATTTTATGGTATATTAAAACAATTAACTTTTGATCTTTCAATACTTAATAAGGTGAATTAAGCCTGTTAGTCCTCATTTAATAAATGTTTTTAATAATTTGTAATTGAAAATTAATTCTATTAAGCATCAAATTACCAAACGTTTGATGAAATATATTTCAATTTCACATTTTCTTTGATTTTCATTATATAAAATTTTTGATTAGCGATCTTCAACGAAATTCATCCGTTCACAAATATTTTTGGTATAATTTCAATCTGGCCGTTCCAGTCATTCCAATTGCAAAACGTGCAAACGTACCCAATCCAGTCAACTGTCAAAGTTCGGTAGGTGAGCGGTTCTCACATTTCCAGAAGAGAGTTGGGGATCTCTTTATCTCTGGCCAATGGGTTGTGAACGAGCTTTAGACGATTAGTTGATAAAAAGTACACCAAGTGGTGGTAATGAAATGTCGATAAATAAAACGATTTAAATAATCTGTAACAATTMCGTTGTGGTATTCTTTCTGTTACTGATATGATATGTGATAATGAACTCATTTGTTATACATAAATCATATGGTTTTTTTGATAATATTTTACAGCTGAAATCCCCTAATACTTTGTTTTTCACAGAGATATTTTATAAAATGCTATATAATTTATTGATTAAAATGGTAAATACGGAATAATTGCTTTCCGATTTTAAAATTTGCTAATACTTAGCTTTCTTGTGTGTCAGTTTCCGTTGAGAGCCGCATATTTTTCAAACGTGACTTCAAACTTTGAATGCTACAATGGGAGCTTTCGTGATTGATACTCAGGATTGCCAAATAAAAGGACTGTCATGTGACGTGTTCCCAATGCTGAAATAAAATTTCCTAAATTTACCAGCACCCATTGAAACTATAGTACTACTTAGCATTTAGACTATTTGAAACCCAATATTGCCTAGGGTTCTGATTCAGCAGTTCCTGACTTAAAAATTTGGCTAGTGAAAAGTAGATCAGTCATTCATTACTTTGGGACTACACTATAAGCTACTAAATAATAATATATTGTTATCAGTCAAAGATAACGACAGCTGAAGTTGGCTTATCAGTGCAGGAGGTCCATTCCGCATACATCTCTCAATTACGAGCACACTATGAAACACTCAGTTCGGAAGTAAAAGCAAGCTAAGACGGTCCTGTGTTAATTTATAAAAAATATTTAAAATTTCGTATAAAAAATCGTTTACATGTAAGTAGAGAATTGCTCAATTTGAATATATGTTTATGTGTGTTAGTTAAAAAATTCATAAGCATGTTATGTGAAAGGTTTCTTTGTATAAGCATCTATATGTACATATGTATGTAGATACATATTTAGTGGGACTGTTTCGTGGACAATGGATGTAAAATAAGCACAATCCATTTTCTGCAGTTGTTATTAAAACATTGATTTTGCATTGTTAAACAGATAGATTTCATTAAATGGCACAATCTTAGGAAACTACTTAATTAAATATTGTTATTTTGAAAATAATCATATAAAAATGCTTATAACAATCGTTGATTGTACATACATATGTATGTACGTACAAACATACATATATTCATATAGTACATATGTATGTACATATGTTGCAGTTGCATGCCTGGTATAACTTGCATATACAAAGGGATTAACTGACATGCTAAGATCGACTTTAATGACAACTACTAAAGTCGCTGCTCACTCCAACAAAGTATAGTACAAGAAATGCCAAAATGGTATAGAAAAGCAACCAACTAAACTATAAAGTAAAATGTACATATGTATGTATATATGTACTTTTTATATAATAAACACTTGAGATTATGACAATAGATGCGTGTATACGTAAGTTTTTGCTTCATAAATCAGCTCAGAATAACAAGATAACCGCAGCATTCAGAAACGATAAAGATTTTGCTCACCCACACATACATACATACCTATATAAATTAATTTATGCCATGTGCAAGTATTTTACTTAGATTGTGGATTATTGATAAGAATGAAATGGCAATAATAAAATTGTATACAGAAATTCAAATAAACAATTTAAAATTTAGTTCGCTTGAATTATGTGTGCATAATGCCGGTAAAGTCCTAACAAGAAATCTAGTSTTTTATGCCTACCTATATACTTTAATGTAGGGAACATTTAGAGGGTACAGATGATTTGATGAATATTCATCGCTAATCCCATATTCGCCAGATTGACTCACTGGTACCTTTTCTGTTTTCTAAAGAAAAAAATTCTGTTTCGGGAATGCGGCTTGGGCCATTCGCTGTCACTTGTCATTGAGCCCATTGACGTCGAAAGCAAAAGCTGCTAAACACATCGCTTTTCGCGCGCAGTATATATGGATCTGATCCTGAGTGTATACATATATTTGAGATGATGGTGACAATGAAAAAGTTTAAATTAAGATCTCGTCAAATGATCAAAAAAGCGTCGGTATATGGGCCTCGAATAACTAACATTAAGACCCCTAAATATTATGACCTCTGTATTGATCCAGATAAATTATGTATATATTTATTCCTTGAAATATCTTTTTTGTTATTTCGGATTTTTTATTTTATATCTTGGATAACAATCGATCAAAAATAATAATAAAATGTACAAAATATATATATATAAAATATTACATATTTTTAGGATGTCACTGCTGAAGCATTTGAAACGATCAATCTTGCTGAAGAGCAATCAGACGGCACTGGCTGTGCACTCATGCTTCTTTCACAAAAGCTCTCCATTAGAATCTAAGAATGACTATCTAATTGATTCACCTGAGTATGATTTCCTCAAGGATATTGGTATAGAACRCGAAAACTGCGGTGTATATAATGGAGTGTGGAAAGGTTCTGGAGAGGTATTAACATCTATAGACCCAGGAACTGGACGCAAGATCGCTAACGTTCGTGTGGGAACATCTGAAGAAATGAATGAGGCGATAAAAGTTGGAGTGAATGCATACCAGCAATGGTGTCAGGTGCCAGCACCTGTACGTGGAGATATTATACGTCAAATCGGCGAAGAAATGCGCAAATATAAAGAGCCTTTGGGAAAGCTTGTAAGCTTAGAAGTTGGAAAAATATTCAGCGAAGGACAAGGCGAAGTTCAAGAGTTTATTGATATTTGCGATTATGCGGCAGGGCTTTCGCGAATTTACTCAGGACAGGTAATCAATTCTGAACGACCGGAGCATACAATCTTGGAAGCGTGGCGTCCTTTAGGCTTGGTAGGCATTATATCAGCCTACAATTTTCCGAATGCCGTCTTTGGTTGGAATGCTGCAATCGCTTTGGTAAATTCTTAATATACATAAGTTTCGAATCAATCACAGCTGTTTACTATGGTATTCTTTGTTTTTGTACAGACAACTGGAAATAGCGTTCTTTGGAAGGGAGCCCCAACTACGTCTCTAGTCTCAGTAGCGACCATGAAAATCCTTTCTGAAGTTTTGAAACGTAATAACTTACCACCCATTGCAGTGCTTTGCCAAGGAGGTGCCGATGTGGGTCAGAAACTTGTTAACGATTCTAGAGTGAAACTTGTGTCGTTTACTGGCAGTTGCGAAACTGGTCGCAACGTTGGAGTGGAGGTCCAAAAACGTTTTGGCAAAGTTATATTGGAATTGGGTGGTAATAATGCTTTGATTGTAGACCAGGATGCTAATTTCAACATGGTATTAGAAGCTGCACTCTTCGGTTGCATTGGTACTTCCGGCCAGCGTTGCACCACAACACGTCGTATTATCGTACATGAGAAACTATATGATCGCCTGGTTAAGGAATTGGTAGTCAAATACAAACAAGTACGTTTTGTATTATTTTCGACCGTTTAAAACGGCTAAAGACTGTGCAAATTATATAAAAAATATCCTGTCTTTGGCATATTTATTTATATGCCATTTTTAATATACGTAAATTTACATATAAATACATTGCAGGTTCTTCCAAAGGTGGGTCATCAATTAGATCCTAATACACTGGTTGGTCCAGTGCATTCTCAACAAAATATTGAACATTATAAAGCCGCCATTGTCGAAGCTGTCAAGCTCGGCGGAAAAGTTGCATTTGGCGGAAAAGTGATCGAGTCTGAAGGTTTCTATGTGGAACCGACTATAATAACTGATTTGCCACATGATTCGCCAATAGTGCATCGTGAAACTTTTGCTCCAATTGTTTACATTCTTAAAGCTAAATCTATTGAAGAGGCTATCGAATGGAATAACGAAGTAGATCAAGGTCTGTCTTCTGCGATATTTACGGAGAACATATCGAATGCGTTTAAGTGGATTGGCGCACAAGGCTCTGATTGTGGCATAGTAAATATAAATACTACAACTAATGGAGCAGAAATAGGCGGAGCTTTTGGTGGCGAAAAACACACTGGTGGAGGTAGAGAATCCGGTTCCGATGCATGGAAACAATACTGCAAACGTTCGACAATAACACTAAATCATTCCGGAAAATTAGCATGTGCACAAGGTGTGGTTTTCAATGTAGAATAAACGAAGTAATTTTTATTATTATACCATAAATGTGTTGTATTTTTGTGTAGAAAATTTATAGATTTCGGAGAAATCAATTGTATAAATGAATGTTACATGCTGGACGTTTAAATGCCTTATTATATTTATATTGTCAAAAGAAAGAGAAAAAGTATACAAAATAATTTGATGTGAAGCTCCTAACCCTTTATTGGTTTCAAAATACCATTCAGGCTTTACCGAAGCTTAGAATTTTAATCTCACACAAATTTTATTAACTCCAGAAAAGAGTGAAATATTAGTCTCAAAGGCTTCCAGACTAGTTAAATCCAGTTCCTGATCAACTTTTCAACTTAATTGCCATGTAGAGCCTTCGCTAGACGTATAATACTCACAAAGAATACATCTAAGAACACATTTTTACTGGAACAGGCTTTATTAAGTTTGCCTCAAAGTTGGTAATACCTAGAAGAAAACTACTCTTTAAAGTATACTGTAAATATAAATCATCAGCGTGACGAGCTGGGAGGATTTAGAAATGCCCGTGTATATACATACGTCAATTATTTTTTGAGATATCGAACTGACACACATTTTTTTTACACTCTTTTTCTCTTAAAGAAGCTGCTAATTTGTCGGAACTACCGTAATCGGACCATATATATAGGTGTCATACGATCTGAACGATCAAACTCAAGTCCTTACATGTAAAACTTTTTTGTGTGACAAAATATCTTCACAAAAACTTCAAAGCCCACTTCTTGGTGAAATCATATACATATTATATCTCTGTACCTGACCGACTGATTTAGACTAAATTTAATAACTAGCATTCTTCTATATCATTAATGTATGGGATATACTATACAATTGAAATTCAGAGATAATCTTTTCCTGATAATAATATCTCTGTGCCCCCATTTAACTAATATCCGGATTTTCCAATATCCGGCTGATTTTACTGCATATGATTGGTGAATGTATGTGAGGTACCTTAATGAAAACCAGGGAACAATTTCTTAGTATGTGGCATGATAGTAGTTAAGAAATAAAATTGGGTCGATACTACCGAAACTGTATATGAGAGTAAAGTTTTTCTAACGAAACTTATGGTGAGTATATTGGTCAGTATATGAGTTAGATTCAAAAAGTCTTGTTTACTTTGAAACGCACCTTGTATTGTATGAACTACTGTGATCAAATTGCCAACGAATTTTCAGTCATCATAGCACTTTGAAAAATCCTGCGTCGTGATGGCCATCAAACCCTTTTTCGATTCAGATTTTATATCCTCAATTGAGTTAGTTTGTGGTAGTTGTGTAGTTTGAGTCAGTTGAGTGGTCATGTGAATTCGCTGAATAGCCAGAATTGACATGAAGTTAAATCAGGCGACTGCGGTGGTTGCGGCGAGATATTAGTTGAAAATGTGGCGTAATAATCACGAATAACSAAWGCAGTATGAGATGGTGCATTATCGCACTTCTTCGTGCAATAAATTCAGATATAGTAAAAATCGAAGAATTCACTTTTAGAGCCAACAGTACTACTAACTTAGAGGAATAAAATTTAACGATTCGAAAAACACGTGAAGCATAAATTAAAAATCCAACTTTCAATTTGATCACAGTGGTATATATACAATTGCTTAGATTCTGGTCCTCTGGTTGACGTTTTAAAAGTATAAAATTCCGGTTGCACCCTAGCTTGTTTCTTGTTTTTGTTTTGTTCAGTTTKTCAGCTTACAAATTTAATTACTTTTCCATTTTGACGAGTTTCCATGGACACTTTCGATCTGTTTAGTCGATAAATAATTCGTTCTCTTTTAGTGCTGCTGTTCAGCTCAGTTTTAAATTGGATTATTAATTAAATAAAAAATAAACAATTGACAAAGGCTTAACCATGGAGGTTATGGAAGAAGGAAATTTAATGGACAGGGTCCCAGTATTGTTGCAGAGAGATCTACAGTTTTATCAGGTATGAAAACTTCCGTCAATAGTTTTTTGGAAATGTTTTTGCCTTATGAGAATATTATGCAATTTTTGGATTTTTAATTCATCTTCAAACTTACYAAAAACCTGTGAGAAGACACATCAAAGAGTCCTGCAGGAGCGCATTTGTCTTGGTGTGGTAGGGGGTAAATTAGATTTCCCACGTTACGCCTCGTTTGCCGCGATTAAAATTGTTTTATGGTGAGTAGTATTTCGAGAACTTAAATTATTTTTATTAATTGTAAACAAGTTTTTGTTACCTTTCCGTTTATAAAGGTGGGAAGATGAATATTATGCTTCCTACCAAAAGCATTCTGGATTATTGCATGCAGAATGGGATCTGTTGTCACATGATCCGGTAAATAGTGTGGTGGTGGTATTTAACTAAATAAACACTTACTTACATTGGAGGTGTTTTTAGACAGCTGTTATTGTGAAAACATCAGATCCGGAAAAATTCGTAAATCTCGTAACGCGGTCGGCTGATATGCTTTTGGAGCATCTACATATACTATCGCAGGAGTCCTTAGATCATGCCGACCTCTCTGTGCTGACTGCAACAATTGGTGCGGCAGCGCTCATAAAAAATTGTTTAAATATTTACATGCAAGCAGCTAATGTAAAGGTCTATCGCCCAAAGGGCAATGAAAAGGGTGGCGCATTAAGATTGTCCTACAAGCAATACTTACAAATGGCTGAAGCGCTAGCGGAAAGGCTATTAGATTTACATTGTAGACTGCTATTGTTGTACATCATACAAGATGCAGATTGTCTTAATTGGGAAAATAGTCAACCGTTTTTCGAATCAGAGCGCGGTTCGTATACCATACAAATGTGGTGGCACTACATTCAGGGCATTAAGGACGATCTGTGGAATTCAGTACCACCAAAGATGGCCCAACGTATTTTTGCGGGCATTTTAAACGAAACTCTGGGTGTTCTTACTGCGCGTTATTCGTTAATTTTAACTAGTGTCGAAAGAGCTCAATTACACTTGGCAGATATCTCTAATATGTTGTTTTGTGTGGCAGAATTGTTGCCTTTCATCTGCGAAAGTGGTGAAGCCTATATAGGTGAGTGAATGTAGGAAATGGAAATTTCGCTATTAAACATAATTTCTATACATATAATACGTGTGTATTTTATGGATCTCGTAAACAGGTCTACAGCTTCCTACTCAAAATGCTATTATCCGCGATGTACACGCTAAGTGTCGAGAGTTGTTTTACTGCCTTTTGTTACGTGGTGCGCCGTTAGGAGTGCTGTCAAAGGTTGGTTACTACTTCCATTTACTATACATATGTATGCTTACTAGCCACTGAATTTATATTAATATAGGATATTGCTTTTCAATGAGTCAGATATCCAACTGCCTTGGTTTTGAGTAGATTTGAACAAACGAATTATTATTCTATGATATATTTTAAGCTGACTTCAATGTATTCATTCACACTAAATGGTTGTATTTCAATAATAGAATTCTTAATAGAAACAAAAAATCTGAAATGATGTTTATCCGTATAAGGAAGAAATGTTAGTGAATATTACATAGTGAGCACAATATCATAAATTTATAACAGCAATAGCTCGGTGCAGGCCCTTAATTTGGTGTGTTAAATTTAAATCTTAGCTTTGTCGTAAAAATATTGAAAACATGGAAATGTTTTCATCCAGACAAGGATTACCATGTGCTTGGATCTTATTTGCATCACCACGTCTGTTTTCTACGGATAAGACTTTTCAGTGGGTAACTGAATTCAGTGACCTCAGCGCGAGAATTGCAATATCGCTGGAATTGAAGGTACTTTTGGCGTTTCCCGAAGCTGATTGGGCATACTTATTGAAGGTAAATTCATKTATAATATTTTTTAAGAGAAAAGTAGCCTAAACGAAACGCAAGTTGTTTTTGTGACCAAACACATATTTATTATTTCGCAGTTTGTTAATCAAATATATTTCTTTTTACAATTAAGGTGCTTTTAATGCGCAACGCACAGGTGACCGGTGTAATTCTGCGTCATATTTTCTCACATTTGCCGTCACCGGAGAATTTCAATAACGAGAACAGCTCATTTCTCAGCGACGTTGGTGAGCAGAAAAAATGCGAGGCATTTCTATGTCGGGGTGAATGCTTAGATTTATCGCATCAAATTAGAAATCAAGCAGGTAAGACCATAAATAGTACAATGTGGCTTCGAATATTACGTATTGATAAGRCGAGGTGCTTCAAGCAAAGCTCCATCGAATTTCTAAGAAGCTTTAGAAATATACAATATACTCAAAGATGTTTCAATATGAATTAGTTAGAGTGAAATTCTTTAAGTTRAATGGTATTTATTGTTTAAACATGCCTTCTCCAATGGATGTAGACCCTGTCGGCCAGTCTAACTACCAAATAGTTTTATCCCTAACTTATCTGCTGGTGGCGGTTGGGAAAGCTGTCGATATTAAATCGTGCCTTATTAAAACCTTAGAAGAGAGTTCTGCGGGTTGGAGTGACTGCCTTGACAAGCGCCAGGTATCAAAATTGTTTTGAGAAATAGTTGGTTTCATTATTGATAAATTCAAAAACTCAGGTTTGGAATCAGAAGCGACCACCTTGGCTGGAAGCAACTATGCATTTTGTATATCCRCTTCTGAATTGTGTTGTTGACATGTTAGTTAATGCTGTCGAAGCGGGAGCTAGTATGTACCAGGCAATGTCATTGGCTTTAACATGTGTTTCCGAGATGTGGGATTGTATACCCGAGAGCCTTTACAAAGTAACCATTTTATTGCAAGACATCATACCGGTTTCAACTCGTCCTCTTGGTATGTATATTCTGCGAACCTCGTAAATGCTCAACAATACTTATTCCTTTTATATAAATAAATATAAGTGTGATATATAGGGTGCTTCAAGGAGTATAATGTAGGCTAGTTGTATTTGCACCAGAAAGCAATTTATAAGCTCTCACCATATTTTAAGCACGCTAGATTACTCTTATTATCCTCTAAATTATAAATATATATAATACATTTTTTTGTTTATCTTAAAGGCGATTCGGTACTCATGCAAGTAGTTTTTGCAGCTTTATATACAGACCTCATTCGAAAAGCTAAATTTTATGAAAAGGGTAAGTAGTAATTTAAAGTTTTTGTTGGTTGTGTGTAAACAAGAATATTTTTGGTGGTTTTTTTTTTTCAATCTAATATAACTAGAGACATAAATATCACTTGCTTTACTCTCTAATAATGCTCTCTAAATAAGCAATTAGGTGATAAAATAAATATTATTCATTATAGAAAACAAAATGGAGAAGGCATCAACCTGCTATTCCATCTCCGAAGCTATATGCTGTATAGACGAAGACGACAAACATACCGATCAAATCGATTTATTCTTAAAGCAAGCACGAGACTCCATAGCTGTCGAAACAAATTCTCATTTTGAATCTAACGGTGGTGCCCGCAGTTGGGTTAGTACATTAAGTACGGTGAAGATTGATGATTTAAATAACACAAACACTGAACGATTAACACAAAGTCCGCCGATAAATTATGCCTCAGAGCTAGATGTGGGTATAGCAGATTATATAGCAGACATATTAGTTAGTGATGTACTCACAAGTAATATTGGAAAGCAAGCTTTAAAGGTAATCTTAAACCGAATGAGATATTTACTAAGTGCTTATAACACTTCACATTTTCATTGCTTCGCATTTAAGACAAGTTATAGATATTTGAAGAATAATGCAGATTGGTTAGAGGAGCAACTGGGCTCTGGGGTCCCCGTTAGTGGGCCAAATCCGGGACAGAGGATCAATGAACCAAAGGATTCGATATTGTCAACAATGTTTTTTGTTGGGAGTCATACGTTTGACCAGGTAAGAAATACAAACGAAGAAATAAATATAATAAATAAAAATAGCCTGTGTTTGAAGGTTATTTTTATGGTTTTTAGTAAGMTCATTAACTCTTTATATATAATTATTAAACGCGCTCTAGGTCATTTCTGTTTATTCAGAAATCAAAAATTCTCATAAAAGTTTAGTTATAGTATATTGGGTAGTCAAAAAGTCTTTTCGCATTCCTAATCAAACTTCAACTTATTTTTTATATTTAGAATTAACTTTAATGGATCAAATATGTACCCCTTTGGTCGATCACTTTTGCCATTTTTTCTCTACAGACATTATTCCATGAGCGCAAAACTTTTCTAGTTTCTCTGCGAAAAACTGAGTCAAGTAATTTTCACAACACTCTTGAAGCCAACTATTAAAGGAGTTCTGCATTGATCGAAACAAATGGTGCTTAGATGGTGCAAGATCAGGGCTATATGGTGGTTGCATCAAAATTTCTCAGCCAAGCTCTCCCAGTTTTTGCCGAGYCATCAAATATGTTTGTGGTTTAGCGTTGTCATGTTGAAAAACGAAGCCCTTTCGGTTGATCAATCTCATCAGTTGTTGGCAGCAAAATGTAGAATCAATCGTTCGACCAGGCTGAAGCACCTCATAGTGGATGATTCCTTTCCAATGCCACCTAACACCCAGCATAACCTTTCGAGGCGTCAATCCTGGCTTTGCGAGCATTTGTTGAGCTTTTGTCTTCTGTTACCATTTGCTTTTAGAAATGGTTTGTCCATTAAATTTTTCACAGATAATTCATGTGGTACCCAAACATCGAGCTGTTTTTTGTAGTCAGCCTTTTTTAAATGGTTCAAAATCGTTTCATGATGAATGTTAAGTTACTTAACGATGTCATGGCTGCAATATTTTTTATAATTTCATCGACTTTTTCAATGATAGGTCGACCAGAGCGAGGTGTATTTTTCACATAGAAATTTCCAGAACCGAAGCGAGCGAACCATTCTCGTGTCCGTAAATTTCACAAATTTCAAAATGCCCACAAAAAATATTCTATGGCCCTAAATTTAATGAAGTTCTGATGGAGATTGAAATTAAAATATAAAAACTATTCCCTCTAATACTCCCACCGTTTCGCTATTTGTTTCCAGACCTATGTGCCCACAGTTACTCTTACATAGTACCGCATATAAATAATTGTTTCTTTTCAGCTTCTCAGCGGTGTCCTAAACATCGACTACATAACTTGGCTTCAAACACCCCTTTCTTTGAATGCCGAACGCGCATGGTTGCATTTGTCCCGTCGATGCGATTTCCAGGAAGACTCAAAACTTAGAATGCCCGAGGTGACCATGGTCGCTGGTATTACGCAAGTCATGAAAAGAATGAAATACCCAAAGAAATTTTAAGAATATTTCTAATTGACACACATATTTAAAATACACACACATACATATGCACATTGTTAGCTTAAAAATATTTGCTAGAAATCCAGCAAATAAAAGTGAAGCCAGTAGACAATAATTTGTTTGGTATTGAAGTAATTAAGCTGGAATAAGTATACGACTGTTTTAGCTAATAATTAAGTTCAAATATAAATGAGATAAATTATAATTTAAACAAAAACTCTTCAGATGTCAAATTTAGAAAAAACAAGTACGGAAGGGCCAAGATCGGATGTCACCGAACATTTTAAACTCTCGCATGATAAAGTGATAATCGAGATTTCAGGCGTGGTTGTAAACTGATTTCACCCATATTTGGTACATGTCATCAGGGTGTTAAGAAAATATTATATACCGAATTTAATTTAAATCGGTAGAGTACTTCCTGAGATATGGTTTTTGGTCCATAAGTGGGCGACGCCACGCCCATTTTCAAGCCTGGATGCAGCTTCCTTCTGACATTTCTTCCGTATAATTTAGTGTTTCTGACGTTTTTTGTTAGTTGCTTAACGCACTTTCAGTGATTTTCAACATAACCTTTGTATGGGAGGTGGGCGTATTATCCGATTTCTTCCATTTTTGAACTGTATATGGAAATACCTAAAAGAATCGACTCTATACAGTTTGGTTGACATAGCTATAGTAGTTTTCGAGATATGTACAAAAAAGTTAGTAGGGGGTGGGGTCACACCCTCTTTTCCAAAAAAAATTACGTCCAAATATGCCCCTCCCTAATGCGATCCTTTCTGCCAAATTTCATTTTAATATCTTTATTTATGGCTTAGTTATGGCACTTTATAAGTTTTCGGTTTCCCATTTTGTGGGCGTGGCAGTGGGCCGATTTTGCCCATCTTCGGACTTAACCTTCCTATGGAGCCAAGAAATACGTGTACTAAGTTTCATCATGATATCTCAATTTTTACTCAAGTTACAGCTTGCACGGACGTCCGACAGACGGACGGACGGACAGACAGACATCCGGATTTCAACTCTACTCGTCACCCTGATCAYTTTGGTATATATAACCCTATATCTGACTMTTTTAGTTTTAGGACTTACAAACAACCGTTATGTGAACAAAACTAWAATACTCTCTTTAGCAACTTTGTTGCGAGAGTATAATAAGCATAAAGGTAATCCTACTAAGCTTTCGATGTTCTACTGAGAATGAGCAGAGCCAAAGTATTTTTTGCAAATTTTATTGAAAATACCATATTTACAAGTAATTCTACAAATCAAAACAACATGTTCAATAATATGCCAACGAAAGCATTTTCAGGGACTTGCGTATTGCTATACTAATTTTCTGATTTTTACTTACCGTTTTCTGCAGTTTTTGCAAAGCGCATATAACCCATATTTCTTTATGGGAGTAAAATAATTTATAATTTTTGCTGAGGCCAAAAAATTACAAAAAAAAAAAAAAATAACTGAAATGTAAAATATCTACAAACATTTAATCGAACTGAATTCACACGGGGTATCAAGAAATTTGAACTTACTGCAAGAACTCTTGATTGCATATTATTTGTTTCACATACACACACTTACAGGGTGACTGCATGACATAAATAATGCACATAATTCCGACATGCTTGGTCTGACATCTGTCATTAAACATCTGTTCAAATTTGTTGGATATTCGTATCATGGAACAGTACACAGACCCACCTGAAATCGCTCAGCTCCATTTTTAAAAGAATTCACCGAAAAGTTTCTATGTAGATAAATTCAGTTTTCTTTGAGATTATTCTACACTCAGGTGTTGGTAGTTTATATTGTATATGATGTAAAAATGTATTTTGTTTTTACTGTTGAGTAGTGGCAATGTCAGAAAAACTGAGGCGGACTAAATAGAATGTTTGAAAGTCCTTTTTTATCTAAAAACTAAAGATAAAACCACAGCACGATATTTGGTTGCACTAGCTGGTTTTAYATTGGTCGGTCTGTTTACGCTCATTTTTAAAGACTGTTCCTGATTGTCTAATAATGGATTATCAATACCATCGTCTGGGATTTCGTTGCAGTTTTCACTCTTCATTTACCGCACTGCATAAGTGCTGCTTTGGATTCTGGATTTTGTGAAACCTCGATTTTGTGAAATCTCCTTATCATTGTTTGAAAATACTTTTCGTAGTAAATACTTATGTTCTTTTAAAATTATTAAATGTTGAAAAATTAAAGGAAAGCAATATACAGTACATATTTCACCAAATGTATACTTTTATATTTTTATGTTTAATGCCCTATTTATTTGAAACAAATAAACTTATAGTAAAAAACTTCTGGTTTATTTATCCAAATGTTTAAAATTCATAGCACTTGTTTCAATAGTTTACAAAGTAAACAAGTAAATATAAGTGAATATACATTGTGACAAAAAGTACCCGAAATTTAAAATTAAATTCCCCGGGTAAACAATATTTTGCTATGTTGGTAGGACTGTCCTTGATTACTATGTCAAATAAGAGCGCGATCCGTCAACCATTTTATTGACAACAATTGCTTAAGTCGGTACACCTCAGTAGTGCGTTGACATTTTTACAATGGTTAAAAATATCGAACAAAGAATTTGTCTCAAATTTTGTAATTTCAACCACATTTCGTGTGCGGAATCATTGCAAAAGTGAGAAAATATTTATGATGTTTTAAAAACACAAATCTACGAATGGGACAAAGCTTTTCAAGACGGTAGAGGTCGGATCGCTGAAGACAAGGCTCATTCTGGCCACATTCGACCTCTTTAACTGCCAATTTAAAGCCGAAAACGCAATGAATGCCATCCCCTCTTCTCCAGATTCGGCTTCGTGTTTTTCAGTCGATCGAAGAGATAAAACAAAATTCGCTGAAGGCCATACAAAAAGTGCTTACAAAAGTGTTTGGAAGACTAGAAAAAATCGTTGGCATAAGTGTATTACATCTGAAGGGGATTACTTTGAAGGCGACAAAATAAATACAGATGAAAATTTAATGTTTTTTACAATTTCAGGGCACTTTTTTACGAATTAATTTTGTAGTGGAATGGACGATGTTTTTAAAGTTTTCCGTTTGATGCATGTTTCTTTCAGTTTTTTTTTAATACATTTTTTTTTATTATAAATATTTTAAACTATACTTAAGAAATATATTTCTGATTCAAATCGGCTAGGTATCATTTTACTCATTTTGATGCTGACTAGAATACGTAAAATATAAGCTCTGTTTAGAAAAGATTACTTGAACGAAAAGAGTCTCACTAATTTACAATAACTAATTGAGAAACTGTTCAGCTTTTGATATTAAGCGAAGAGTACCGTTCCAATTTAAGCTGATTCTGTATATTCAATTAACGGTAACAGCAAACGATGACCGGAACCTCTATGAATAATATGTTTTATCCTGTTGTTGACATCTCTTCATAGGCGAAAACAGCACACAAGTTCCATAGATGTAGAAAAACACTTTCTAAAGACAGTCGGTTGAACACGTACATCTGTAAACAAGGGCGCCCACGCATCAAATGACATAACCGAATTTAGTTAGGCATTTCTGCGTATGGAGTGAACTGCTGGCGTAACATTAATAAGCGTTCATGTGATTAGCAATTTTTTTTCTCATCCGTACTGAAACCGTTCCACTATCGCACATACATATGTACATGTGCCACAAATGGAGGAAATACTAAGCAGCTTCTGCGTGTATTTTCATAGGGTCGTGAATATATTCAGAGCTGCTGTGATGCTCTTTGAAACGCGTACGAAGCCACCATGTGCATCTCGATGTTATGCACTTCTGTGCTACATTTTACAAACTCATGTTGATCAAACATTTACACCTGTGCATGCAATGCTGCAATTATGGTTAATATTTACGTRCATATACATATGTACTTGTACATACATATTTATTTTTAGAAATATATTCATGCTCTACAAAACGGTAACCATTCTCTTATTGTATGCTAACAACTGTACATGTTTGGTTAGACATATTTATGTACGTATCTATATTTAGATGTATGTACGAGTATGTACATAAACCTGAGTGCAAACAAACCAAACTACACTACCGTCTTTAGTTAACTGTTAGGCAAGTTGTAGCGAATTCTCCTTACTACCTTGCCCCAATAGTGAAGGTGAGCAAAATGAGGGAGATACCAGCGACATGCTACTAGTATGCTCATAGCACCCATATACTCGTATGCATATATACATATATGTACATATGTATGGAATATTCGTTGAGTTTACATACATACACATGTACATTTACTCATATGCCTCATAGTGGGCTGATCATGTGCAAAAGTATCGGTATAGCGGAGAGCCCCTATGCTAAGCTTGGGCTTTTCAGTTTACTTCTAAGCCTCAGCTTCTAGCTTAACTGTTATGGACGGAAAAAATGCACTACAAGTAAGATTCAACATAGACTGTTCATATTTGTCTACACCTTTACGCACTTGCATACATACACACACACGTAGTATATTGACTCTTTTGAGTGGAGCAGCAGCTGTGCAAAGAAATATGGTATGAAAGAAGCAAAATGAAAGCTATACAACAACACAAACTGTAATAGGAGCATGGATGCCGCACTAACGATCGCAGCTGAAAAAGTAGAAATGCGGCAAAGACATGAAGCGTTGCGAGCGAGCGAGCGCACATAACTTCACCGAGTGGAAACGCTGAGTTGCTGCGACTTGACGCGAAGCGACGGTTCTGTCTGYCTATGGTTATGTCTTGGGCTGTTGCTGTTGCTGCCGCTGCCGCCGCTGCTCATTGCTATTGCTGACAATAATTAGGTAGCAAGTTGGCCAAAAAGCGGTCAGAGACCGACAGAAAATTTCAGTTTAACCGCGATTGCCAATCGCTTAAGACGTTTTTTAAAATCATCAACGGCGTCTCGTTRCTTATCATACATTCATTCTGTCTTTGAAAGTTTAACTGTGTTGGAAGTCGGTCTTGAATATTTTTGCTTTTCTGCATTGGCTTCAAGTTCACATATCAAAACAGTTCGAAGAAAAAAATTGAATCGAGTCAATAGCCAAGTTTAAAGCATTCAATGCACATGTTACAAAGTCGCAATTGAAATAATTCTTAATTGATTTAATAACGCGCGTACATACTTACATATGTGCAYAGATGTGTGTGTAACAAATCAAACACAATATATTTGCGTATTAAAGTGCTTAGAAACAACTAACTGTTGCAAAACGTTGAAGCGTCAGTGACTTTTTAGAATAGACATTTAACAACATTTCCGTGTGTACAATTTACAAGTATAACGTACATATATAGCATTTTTACCACTGCCAAGATCGTGTCGACGAAATGAGTTTGGGCGGGGAAAAATCGTTCAAAATGCGGATGCGCGACATGGAAAATGCTTTCAAATACCGCCGAATACCATACCCAAAACGGTGAGTCTACACTTTAAACGCTTTAAAGCGGCCRAATCGGCCAGTCTAGGCAAACTCTGCACTACTGAAACTAGTGTTACAGGAAATATGATAAATATCTATTACACATAATATATAAAATGCAGTAGGTACTTATAATGGAATTGAGTGTGCTCTCCTGTTGAATATTTTGTAAGTCTTGTAAATATTTTCGAAAGAAAAATCCGCTTCCTGGTGGTCAGTTGCACAACTAAACAATTGACCAATTTTTCGCGCTCTCACCCATTTACAAAAAGCAAAATGAAAAAAATATCATTATAAAAACTAGATAAAACCTACTAAACTCGAATTGAAGTCATCAAATTGAAATGACTCCAAGCAAGAGCAGAGAAGCCATAAAGCAATACCGAAACGGTACGTTTGTACTCCTAACATAATGACATTACACAAATGGTAAAAGGCCGAAGAAAAATCAAGCGACAACAAAAACAAAAACAAAAAAACAGAATCGAAACAAAAACATTGAAAGCATTAGAAAGCACCAAAACAGAGTAGTAAAAATCATTGAAACTAAGCAAGTGGCAGTGGACTACAGCAGGAGCTGTTGTTCCAAATTGATATCACCTAGTTTCCAATTAAATGCAAACCGGTATCAATTGTTTTAGACGCACACTTAATCTATGTACGTGCATAGATGTGTACGTGTTGCCAACAGCGCCATTTACGGCCAAATAAAGTTGAAGTTGGCTGTTGCAAATAATAACTGGTTGGCTATGTAGTGCAAATATGCGTGTGCTTGAAGGCGACTACAGCACACTTGAGCTGTGGAAAAGTGAATTGCATTTTATAAATCTACGAACACGCCTAACTATCTATGCGCATAAACATACATGCATACCTACATAAATATTGGCTTATAGATTTTCGAGCAACTTGAACTAATATCCAGATGGGTGAAATCTCTGCTTTGATACCCTCCATTTTCATTTTATGCACACCAACTGGGAAAAGTGTTAGGCGAGCATTTTCTTTGCTATAATACCACTATATAATTTGTCTGTAAATAATTGACGCAAATTTAGTTAGTGCGACTGGTGCGCAGGTAAATTATTTTTGAATTAGACGCGCAAACAGCTACGTACGTATAAATGTATGYTTCAATTTTATATACATACATATGTATAACGTCGCCATAATATTTGGAGCACAAATGCGCCAAATTTSAACATGGGTTTTTTCTTTTTCGATTCTACGATGAAGTAATCCTTTTACGSACTTCTTAAACATTTCTGCTTACTACTTGTTGGGACAGAATGTATAGCTAAACAAGAGCATTGCTAGCACATTGCAACAGATCGCACCAACTCTGCTTAATTATTCTAAATGTTGTCAGAAATGGTTCTAAAGCAATAACTTTACAAAATTAAACCATGACGAAACCAGTGACAATATTCTCATAAAAACCCGTCTATACTTCCATGAACATTTGTAAAATCTGTAGAATTCGGCTTAATATTAAAGAGGTCGTCAATTTTCTCGCTCATGTTTCGGACCTACTTTTAATAAAGAATTGGAAAAAAAAAATTTTTTTTTCTTAAATTACTACTCTTAACGTTTCTTTGAATTGGACTCAGTGTTGTATATAAGTTTGGTATCTTGCTTTGTTTAATATTTACGATCCTTCAAAGAATCATGTATGTAGGTATATCGTTCGCAAAAGCAAAAAGTGCACATAAAACGGTATCTAGTCTTCTGGGCTTTGAAGACATAATGTTTCTAAAATTTCTTCGCTCGAAACATCAATCCTCTATGGATATTTAGAAGAACAAGGCCGTTCAATCTGTTTTCGCTAGTCACATTCCGCAAGTTTACAACCTGTGAAGAGTCGAAAACGATCTTTCACTAGGAGCAGCAGTTACCTGAAGAGTTACCGCTATCTGCAGATATCGATGCACACTTGGATGGAACATTTTGTCACAAATATTTAGGATTTCAATGAATCCTTTTTTGCTTTTCTCAAACTTTTTTGTAGAACCTTTATGCTAAATAATATGTTTGCATAAAGCAGCAGGGGGACCAGGAAAATATTGAAACTACTTGGCTACTTTAAAACACATTTTATTATAAGTAAATACATTTATTGAAATAATTTATATATTTTTTGATAAATGACAAAACCAAAACTGTCTAAATTTAGCCTCTCGAATATTTTTTATAATTTCTTTAATAATAGTAATTAAATATTGTTATATTTAGTACTTGGTAGCATAATATAATATTTCATGCAATACGGATGTATTATTCTATCACTTATTTTTCGCCGAGTACAAAGAGTGAATGTATGTAGTCTTTTACCAATTAAGTCTGGATCAGTAATKGTAGTTGGAAGGTGGAACATGAAACACTATTTTCGGTTAACACATTAACAAATATTAAGCTATGCACTAATGCAGCTAATGCATGATTATTTAGGCTAAAGTGCCTTATGTGCGTAAAGACGAGTATAGTTTTTACTCTCTTTCTAAAAAGCATAAAAATAAACAAGARGCTTCTGCCTATCCGTAATGTCAATCTTATCGACGCTTTCTAAGTTCATTTTCAACTGCAAGTTGACTGCCAATAATGAATTTTGTAACATTTCACTTCATTGTTTTCATTACATTTCTGATGCGCTTTTGTTTAATTTTAATAATTTTGAGATAAAATCCGGCGGCGCAGACGTAAAATGTTCAGACTGTAAATAATTTACTTACATAAAAGAAGAAAAAAATATCAATCTTGATACTTATAGCGGCGTTTGCAAAATGCTAATGGCTTTGCTCATATAATATATAATATATACCTATATAAGCATGCCGTTAAAGATTGCTTGTTGTGCGCTACCGTCAAATTGATTAGCATTATGTGCTYTCGTCACGGCTTTTTGCGAATTTTCTCCTGCGTATTGCCGCCTGTTTCCATTTATTTCTTACTATATTTTTTCAACTTSAATCTTGCTAATTTATATCACTTAAAAGAGCATTGTAAACTTTCACAAGTTTGGGGTGTCATCTATCAAAAAAAAAAAAGTTAGAAATTTCACTTACGTTTTTGACACCCACACTTGACAACCTAATAAGTGTATTTTAGTTAAATATAGATATAGGTCAAAATTAGTCTCATTTCACTTACATACTTATTTGGCAGATAATGGCGATATTTGAATTTTGCTGAATATGAATAGCTTAATTTAGTGATGTAACGTTCGTTTAATGATTTTTATTTGATGTTAATAGGAGGTAAATTAAGTGTATATTCATTTAATTCAGTTTTGTTGATTTTCAACTTTTTTGTTGAGATCGCTATGTTTGAGCTCTGCTCTCGATTTAACGGAAAGCAACAAAAAATTGAGCTGTAAAGAATGTCACCTCAGCAAAGTGGTATAGCCCCTTTCTGTTGCTGATCTTATTATGCCAGTCTATTTGATATACGCAAGCTTTGTATTTAATTACCGATCTTCAAGTTTTGGCGTATCGAAAAAGGCTTTCATGTGCCTTATATTACCAATGTCCTATACTTTGAATGGATATAATAGGTTAAATATTATAACTTAGTTTAAAACTATGTAATTTATGTATTTTTAAATCTCTAGAAAATTTAAAATTAAAAAAATTTGGAAGTAAAAGCACAATCCTTTGCCAAATTACCTCGCTAAGAAAATATACATTTTTAATTGGCGTGGAAATATTTAAAGCTTAGTGAGATTTTTTCCTAGCTTATACTACAGTAGCATACCATCATTATTCTTAAATAAATCTTCCTATATGATAACAAGTATTTATCACCGAAAAAAAAAATTTAAATTAATAAGACGAACGCAAATTTGGGTATTAGCGTAAAATATTGTATAATCGGGTTGGTGCACATATTGGCAAGTTCATTTAAGCGTCCAGCATTCGTTCGAAGTCAGGGCGTTCATTGAACTCACAGACAGACCCTTTTTTCGCCGGTGGAATTTCTTACAATTATTATGCATCAAACCGGTATTCAAGTCGACCCTTACCTTCATTATTCAAATTAGTTTTGACGATTCATCGTTGGTTCGGCTGCTTAGGCGACCCATGGCTTGGCCACTTAAATAATTTATTGAACAACTATTCGTGAAGAGGCATAGGTGCTTGAACTCTTGTACGGTTGATCTGCAATGTATAGAAGACAAACAAACATTGATTGATCTTTGTTTTTGCGTGCTTTCATTCTGCTAACCGCCATATCACCTGCCTGCGGGTGCGTACGTTTGAGTTCAAAGACCTAATATGAAAGAAAAAAATTAAAAAATATGCTTGCTAACAAACACGACTACTGTTCTTTTTTTTTGTTTAGTTCATTAGCAGCACCAGAGTGAATTATTATACATATTTGCGCCATTTTACATTTACAACAAGACTGTAGAAATATTAAAGCAAATTTGCGATCTCTCCCACTTCTGTAGCAAAAATAGCTGAAGCATTAGTTCTTCAATGTGCAAGTTTTTGTTTTTTTAATTTTAATTTGTTTAAAAAGAAATGGTTATATGCACGTATGTATATTATATAATACTTTTAAATGAAKATATTATATAAAATTATTATTTCTGGTAATTCTCAAAAATATCGCACAGAAATGTGGTCAGTGCTCAGATTTAACATTATTACATTTTTTTTACTGAAGAAAGATATCCTATATCAAGGAGATGCTACCGGTAAACTTATTTCTGTTTATTTATAAACATGTCAATTGCTTAGGATGACTTTTTGTTATAAAATTATTATATTTTTATCAATTATAGGTTAGGGTAGCATACAAATTTATTCAACAATTTAAAGTTCCTTATAAAACTATATTTTAATAACTTTTTTATGTATTTCAATTCCCATTTATAATGCAAATAACATATTTGTGACTTCTATTTCTTGTAGATCCGTTGAACTCATTGCCATCTTGGCAATATCATGTACATTTTTCCTTTTCATGCATACAAACAAATTAAATAGTCGCCTCAAAGAGATGGAAATCAAACTGCAACCATCGGAATTCTCAGCGCTCGGCTTAACTGGCAATCAAATTAGTCCTAGGGAGTCATCAAGTGAGTAATAAAAAAAAAAAAAAAAAGAATTATAACCAACGAAAGCTCTGTATAAGAGACAGGTCATCAAGTGAGTAATAAAAAAAAAAAAAAAAAAGAATTATAACCAACGAAAGCTCTTTCATTTTTATTTGTACTAATATTTTGACATATGAGAAGTAAATATAATACTATCCCACGCCTTTCAGAAACATTTTTGATAATAGTAATAAAGAATACAAGTTAAATTATTTTAATTATACACATTTACGCTGCATAATCAATGAAAAAAAAAATCAATGTTACGTATACGCCCCATACAAAGAGTGTGCGAAGTATTAAGAAATATAATATTTCTAGTTATGTACATTGCGTATAATTGTAACTCAATCAGTATTTATTTTTTCGATTTCAGGACGTGATAATATCAACACACTTCATGGCACCTACCAATATCTCAAGAGCACTGGCCAGGTATGTTTAGCGTTAAAAGAAAGAGATAAATATATTGCTTAATCATCGAAGCCATTACATAAATTCGCCGTTATTCATTTCATGGTGTTATGGTACTGGACATATATTGTTTTGGTCCAACTGTATGCATATACATACTTATAATAGATCTTATATCGTTCATACCATACCGCATCGGTTACTTTGAAGTGCTTGCTCGCCTCGCGTTAGTGGCACGGGACATTACTTCGTCTTGAAATGCATATCTTCATGTTTTCATATGCATTGTTCGGTGTGTGTGTGAGGAGTATCGTATATCTTCTCCTGAGATTATTTCAAGAAAAATGTGTGCCTCAAAAGAAGTGAATATTCAAAAAAGTATCGAACAACATTTTTTTACAATTGTTAATATATGTTATTTTTAATATGTTTTATAAAAGTTTCTGTTCAATAATATTTCATAAAATAATATATTTAGTAATTGATCCCATGAAATTATTGTGTACAAATAATCGTCGTTCACATGTTCCGGTTTTGCCTTGAATATTTAAGGGGCCTTCTAAAAGAGCACACACATACTCAAACATACATTCTCGTACAAACACTTTTACATACTATATTTTCACACATACCAAAGCAGATAAACGCCAAATTTACACATTAAAGACATATACATGAATACATCGAATATTTTACACATAAACACATACACACATTTGAAACCGTTAGATGTTCACATCTCAATGCACGAAAATTCGCCTTTTTAGTTCTAAACCATCTACTCCTTTGGCTTTTAGCATACCATACATACCTACTATTTATAAATACTGTTCTTTCTATTCTCTCTACTCTATTTGGACTATGCTTTTGCATGTCTCTGGCCGCTCACTAACCTTTCAACTTTGTGTCAGGGTCTATGAATTATTTGAAAAATTTAAAGGAAAATTAAAATTTGGGGATAATTCAGGTAGGCGGTTTAAACTATRTTATATAATAGTATTTGAAAAATTTCAAGGCAAAAATAATTTCAATCGAAACTGAAAAGTATTTGCACTCAATTTTTACATAATTATACCCATAGTCTTGTGCGAATTAGTGCGACGAAGTGTATTGCAGAAATTTGTCGTGTGAGTTTAAGTGAATTGTCAGTTTCTGGTATGAAAATGTGGCAAAACTTTTCATACAATACAAGAAAAGAGTGTTATTTAGTTTTAAGATCTGCTTTAATTTTATCATTCAAAAATATTTAACGGTATCGTTAAACCATTATTATTATTTTTTTTTAGTTTTTGTCTGGGAAAAAACATATTCCGGTTGGATTTTTTTTTTTGAATTTTTATAATGTATTAAACACTTGCATAAAAGATATATAACTATGAATACATATAGTTCATATGCATTGCATATATATGAATAATTGTGAAAGTTTTTTGCACGGGACTGTAAAATAAGATTTTTTACTAACTGTTCTGAATTATTAGTGGATTTCTTTTAATATGGACATAAATATGAAGATAAAAGAATTTTGCCTTTTTCCTATAAATATTCAATTCATTTCCATTAAGGCGAATTATTTAAGATAAAATTGACAATGCTTCAATTTGAAAATGGCGTAATCAATTTTTACAAGTCTTGGTGACTGATAATTAAATTTACATCATTAAAACGACATGCTCCTTTACTTTCACCCTCTTCTCACAATTTTACTGACTTTATAATAAGTATATTCACAACGATAAGTGTTGGTGTATAACTTAAACCAAAAAGGAGCAAAATATTGTTATTAATATGTGCTTTCAGCTTTTTAAAAGAATAATATTTATTAAAGGTTTACTTCGACGACTTAAATCATATTCGTTTACAACATTTTAAAGGCGTTTATTGCGCAATGTTTTATTGTAATAAATACATGCCTTTATAAATGTTTAAAGTTTCACTAATTATTTATAGTCCAAGTGCTAATTTATTTTTCTGCAAACGTAATAACTATTGCCATCAGTGTGGAAGACACCATTCGAAGTAGTACGTTACCCTGACCTTGCCACGGCGTATAGAATACCTGAATTTTCAAGATCGTCCAATAAAGTGGTTCGACATATGTAAGCTCTCAGTAGGCTTTCATAAGATACGCACACATACACTTAGTGTAGTGTACTTGCTCACCACAACGGTGGTTCTGTGGCATCTTGAATATCGCATGTCTTTGTCTCCAAAAGTGGCTTCTTGCTTTGGCTCAGCTGACTGCAACTTGCTGCTCTCGCCAACTTTTCCGGTTGAATGAGAAACTGTTTGTATTATTTTTAGTTTGCGCTTGCCAACATTTCCATACATACTCTTGCATATATGTACATACATATGTATATATTTATGTGTGTATGCACTGAGTATTGCATTGCAAATAAAAAACCAAAAACTTATCGATGTCAATGATATTTTGTTATTTAAAACGGCCCAGTTTGAAAAAATATGTTGTAATTCGAGCAAGCATCCTAGCTTAGTTGATGACAATTGAAATCAATAAAGTGTATTTAATTAGTAATTATTTTATTACTTCAAGTCTTTCAAAAAGTTACTTTTTTTATTGGCCCATATTCATGTACGTATATACGGACATACACAGGTATAATTGTTTAATAGTTTTAGCAGCGTGTATGCATTCTTGTGAACAATTAGCGGTTAAATGCTACGAGTTTACCTAGGGTTTTAGATAGATTCGTTATTAAATATATCAAAGTTAGAGAAATATGTTTTGCCTTTAAAAACTGCTRCGTAAAAGAAGTCTTGTTCTAAGCGAAGAGTGGTTGTGATCTATTACGCCATCTTTTTTTTATCTGTTTGATCCAATTCTACTGATTTGAGAAGTATTTGCTTGGGTATAATTATTTTTTCTAAAGAACAAAATTTTATTTGGTGCTTTATTTCTAATCCGTTTGTGAGCTATTTTGTGGATTGCAGATTTGTATATTAGAGCGTCTCGATTTATAGTTAGCCAAAAAATAAAAAAAAATCGTAATTGGGAAATGTTCTATGAATAATTTAAACAACTTAACCTTTTGAGATATCTCAATGAAATTTTGTACGTAGGTGCATATTAATATTCATTTCATTTGTCAGAATCGGCATATCTTCCATACAATCGATTATTCAGACTTTTTAAACTTCGCCTTAAAAATCGCTGACACGGCACCCACTTTAGATACATAGTCTCTTAGGCAAGATGTTCAGAAGGATACGTGGAACGTTTTACGCAAGCGCTTTTTTTAGTAAAAAAATCGACCCGCTCTGGTGTTATAAAAATTAAGATTTCATTAGAGTTTTTTAATTCGGTGACTTTAAAAATAGTGAAGAACTTTTCATAAAGCTTTAACTGATCCGTGAATTACAATTTATGAGAATATTATCATTTGTTTCTTCATTTTGATTAGTATTTTGCTACAAGGCAACTCGATAGTTCGTTAATTTTATAAAATGAAAATATACCACTAATTAACGACTATGAACGAAGCTAGTTTAAATACTGGTATTATTTTAAACAACGCTTTGAGCTTTTTTTTGGTTTTATAATTCATTCAATATATCTTCTGTGTACATTATATATATGTACTTTATAGTTATATATACTTGTACGTTTGAATATATATTTCCTATTCATATTTGATTTTTCGATATTTCTCAAATACAAATAAGTTGTACGTATCAGTTATTAATTAACATATTTTACTATCAAAACAAATACTTATCAGAAGTCGAATCAAAATTCGTATGCGACCAGTAAGAAACCCTATATCAGCAAAGTTATTCGTGTTTATAATTATCGGAAAAATTTTAAATGTTTTCGCAATCATCACGTTAACAATTTCCGGGTTGGCCTCATCGTTTTCATAACTTGGTATAAACTTAAATTAATAAAAGCTGTATCAATAAATATGTACACACATATGTAAATATATAAAAGTAAAATACATGATAATCTAAGCCTTGCTCTGCGCTTGTTTCCACTTCGATCCATTGACAGTTGCCGTATTTGACACCTGAAAGTGTCAACCAGACATCAAAAGCTCAARTAGAGATCGTCCTATTTAATCGTGTTCCCAAAGTGGGTAGCCAAACGTTGATGGCTCTTTTAAATTTACTCTCAAAACGCCATGAATTCGAGGCACGCCGTGATAAGCCCTCTCCAATGGAGACCATATTGCTGACAAAAACATTCGAAAATAATTTAGCAGATGAGATTATGGAGAAAGGGGAAGCAACAACATATACAAAACATGTGGCATTCATTGATTTCGGGAAACTAGATTTACCTTGGCCCATTTATATAAATCTGGTACGTCATCCGGTCGAACGTTTAATTAGTTGGTTTTATTATGTGCGTGCTCCTTGGTACATTGCGGAACGTGTGCGGAATTTCCCCGGGCAATATAAAGTTCCCACMATAAAATGGTTGAAGAAATCTTTTGAAACTTGTGTACTACAACACCATGAGGAGTGTAGATTTACACAAGGCGAAAAGCATAGTCTGGGTGATCATCGTCGACAAATGCTGTTTTTCTGTGGTCAAAATAAAGAATTGTGCATGTGAGTAAAACTTTTGTAGGTAATTTTTTTCAAGTCAAGTGATATTTGAAAATGGGAATACCCGATTATTGTGGAAAAGGAATTCACACATAATTTGTGAATTTATTTATTCGCTTGCCTATATAGAATCCATACGACAATTTTTTTTATGTMGAACGCTGTTTTCTTTCATGAGCATGAGTACCCTCTGCTTCATTCTATAATACTAAAAATTAAATTGGAGTAATTGGATTTCAGTTTTTGAGTCGCTAATCGAATATATATTAAAATTTACTTTTAACGAATAGATGAAGGAAATAAACTTGAGAAAAAGGATTAGTCAGCAAGAACATTACGTTTTTATTTAATATTTTTTTACACATAGGCCGTTCAATTCATACCAGGCAATGCAGCGGGCTAAAAGAAATGTTGAAAATTATTATTCAGTGGTTGGTACTTGGGAA